CTACCACCTCTTACAATACTAGTCAACACAGTATCAACAGTAGACACCTTCAAATTTCTACGTTCTACTATATCAAATGGACACCTAACATCAAAAATGTCATCAAAAAAAGCACAATAAAGAATGTTCTTTCTGCACCAACTCAGAAAGCTCAAACTGCCCAAGGAGCTCCTGATACAGTTCTACAGAGGAATTATTGAGTCTACCATCTGCACCTCTATAACTGTCTGGTTTGGTTCTGCAACCCAACAGGACAGGCATAGACTTCAGAGGATAATTAGGACTGCAGAAATAACAATAACTACCAACCTGCCTTCAATCGAGGGCCTGTATACTGCACGAGTCAAAAATAGGGCTGTGAAAATATTTACAGACCCCTCACATCCCGGACATCAACTGTTTCAACTCCTTCCCTCAAAACGATGCTATAGAGCACTGCACACCAGAACAACTAGACACAAGGACAGTTTTTTCCCAAAAGCCATCACTCTGCTAAACAAATAATTCTCTGAACACTGTTCAACTATTACAGAATCTGCACTACTATTAGTTAATCTTCTCATCATTCCTTATCACCCATCCCCTCCTACTTGTGACTGTATGACTGTAACTTTGTCACTTGTATCCTTACTATCTATATTGATTGTTTCCTAGTATATAATTTGATTGCTTATTGTACCCTATGACTATCATTAAGTATTGTATCTTTTGATTCTTGACTCTTGACAAATGTATCTTTTCTTTTATGTATACTGAGAGTATTTGCACCAAGACAAATTCCTTGTGTGTCCAACCACACTTGGCCAATAAAGAATTCTATTCTATTTAAAAGGTTTGGAGGTTACTTTTTTTAAATCTTGGATTGAAATATCCAAAAATATTCTCCCTGTCTCTTCATTTTCTCACTCTGGAGAATATTACTTCAATGTTCTTTGTTCTCTGTCTCTGAGGAGTTTTATATTTCCTTGTTACATGAAAGCACATTGTATCAGACTACAGACAAGGAAATGTGGCTGGCCTTTGAAAAAAGACTGACTGGTAATATACAAACCCAAGTTGAAAACTTTTAAAAAATGTTTGACAAAATAATGACGGTTGCAAAAAATGTCCAGATGCAAGTAACTGTAATTAAATCACATTCACAAAAGGAATTTGATTTAAAAGTGGCAGATTCAGTGAAAGAGACTAAAAGAAATATGGATCTTACAGACTTAGAATTGACTAAGGGGATTGCACATGCCTTCCTGAAGTTCAGGCCTGCATTCTTTTATTTTTTTAACAAATTTTATTGATTTTCAAAAACAAACACAAACAAAACATAGAACATAAAAACATAGAACATCTTTTTTGAAAGCAGCTTGATCCTGAGTTACATCTCTTCGTACGGACACAAATTCAAATTCATGCTCATTTTATATACCATTCCATATCTTATTGCCATTCTACATTTTCTATATAGCTTCTCCCCTCTAACTTTCTTAGTTTTATTTTATTTATCTCATCTCAGTTCAAATCATTATACTTATATTCTTTGTCTGTCCTGTTTCCAGCTGTCTATTATCTTTTCTCATTAAACAAAATTTCTCCTGTAATCACTGATTGGAGTATGACGCCTTTATCTCTTTCCCCTAAATTTATAACACTTAGTATAATACATAACTTCAATTTGGATTCTGCTTAGTACATTCTAAAGTTACTTACTATATTTTAAAAAGAGAAAAAAATATAAATATATAATTAAAACAATCCATACCAATTCAAATCTATCATTAATATTAATATTCATTACACATTACTTTTCAAATAAGTATCATACTTCTATGGGAACACTTATAAACTTTCCATAATTATTTACCCTCCACTTCACTTGTATTTTAAAACATTGTGTCATTAAAATGTTCCCATTCCTTCTTAATTCAATTCTCTCATTTATTTCATTTCTTTTCTTTTGTTCACAAAAATTTCACTGAATTACACTAAGTATTTTATCCCACTTTTTAATCACGTTGTTTCCAATTTTCTAACATTATTTCTAATACAAATATAACAATACAATCTTATGTACCTTTGCAGAATCATTTTTTCAGTTAAGTTTTTACCCATTATCTCTAAATAAGTCCTGTTTCTTTACATCTTGCTCCATACCTTTGAAGTTTCTCTTCCCTTCCTTCCTCCCTTGCTTCTTCTCTCTGCCCTTTTTGCCCCCTTGTCTCACTACCTCCATTTCCCTCTTCTGTATTCCCCCTTTCTGTTGCTTTCTAACATTATATCCACTTTTCACCTTATTTTTCCTTTTTGGTTGTTTTTTTAGATCTTAAAGTCTCCATTTTCTTTCCCTCCTTTCCCCTTTCTTCCCCAAGTAAAGTTACTTGTTCGTTAAAGATGGCTTCTTCTTTGTCCCAATCCTCTTGTTGCGCAGTTCTTTCTTGTAGTTTCTCATAGGTACAGATCGCCATTTCTAAGAATTAAAATGAGAGCCAAGAGAGTCCTTCCCTTCTTGTTCCTCTTCTTTGTATTTTTTAAATTCCATTTTCAGTTCATCCACAAGAGATGCCATTGTAAAAAAAAAATTTTTTTTCAAACAACCACCCAAGTGTTTTTAGTCATTCAAATATAATTTCCAAAAGTCCCAAAGTCACCAAGCAATCCAGATACACACAAGCTGTTTCTTTGGACACTTTCTTCTTTTTTCATTTTCTCTTCCTGGGGTTACTGTTTAGTTACAAAATTCCAGTTAAAATGTATCTTTTAGAAGTCTTGTTAGGATTTAAACAGATTCTTTTAAATTCTAGGCAGTCTCCTCCTTCTGAATCCTACTCTTATTCTTTTCCTCTCCCTTCCCACTTACAGCAAGAAAAAAAAGTTTTTTTTTTCCAGTGTTCAGAAATCCTTATTATCCCCTTGACATTTAATTATCCAGTTTAATTACCTATTGATGCCAAAGCGGGTTTTTCGGATTTCTCATTCGTTTCTATTCGCTGTCAACGTTAGGAAGGAGAGTGAAAAAAAAAAAACTTTCCCTTTTCACTTTCATTCGCCACTTCCGACTCTTCCTTGGGAACGATGTATCTTTTTAAAAAAAAATTAAATTCCAGGGTACCTTGATTGTTGCTTCTTATCCCGGTCAGCCAAAACTTTCACTTCTTAACTTCCTCCTGCACTTTCTTTTCCGGCTGAGTGCTTCTTTGAGGCGGCCATTTCTGACCGCCGTTCTTACCGCCTTCGGAAAAGGGAGTTTAGCCAGCTGAGGAGGAGAGGTGCGATTCCCCTCAACCCTGCCAGGTCTCCCCTGTCTTCACCACCTCTACGGGGTGGCTTAGCCCCGAAGCCGGCTGGCTCGGGGCACTCCAGCGGCGAGCGCAGGCAGAAACCGCGCATGATCGCAGATTCCTGCCTGCTGCCGAAGCGCTACAAACTGGACGCTCAGGCCTGCATTCTTTTATAATACCAGAAAACTAGCTGAATGGATAAGTGATCAATTGGTTTCCCCTAAATACACTGAAGAAAATTGGGAATAGATTTATCATAATCAACTCAGAAAAAAAATTCATCTGGACTTTTTTGGGAAAGTCGCCTTTTTGGGAAAATCAATTTATTATATTAAACTGGATAACAATTGATAAGAGATAGTGTTAAGAAACAAATGTGGATATTTGATCCAGGACAAATCATAATTATCTGCTGGATTATCTGGGATAGATAAGAAGCTGTGGTAAACTTTCTACAAGTTGAATATAATAACAGTTTGTTAGCAGAGGAAATTTGAAATTTTACTCTTGCCTTTTTTGTTGTTCTATCTGTTAACTATTTTGCCATTGATATAGTAGATGACAGGTTAATAATTTGCAAATAGAATTAGAAGTTTAAAAATATTTTGGGCCTGTTTTGCAAGAGGTGGAAAGCTAATATTGTTGCAATATATTTATTAGTGTTCAACAAGGGGAGGATAATATGTGTATATGTGTTTGTGTCTTCTTTTTTAAATGCACTTTTTAAACGTTTTGTTTGTTTGTTCTTGATAAAAAAAATTGAGTATTGTATTTTAACTTTTTTTAAATAAAAATAAAAATTACTGGTGAGTTATTTTGATTTTTTTAATTTTAAGCTTAGCATTTAGTAAAAAAACATTAAAATGGTTCCTTGAATGTCTTGAAAAAAGTGCTATAGATTTCTAAACTTAATTTTCTCTTAAAAGCGGAGAAAATAATGTACCTCCACACTTTGGATTAGGACAATTGCTGGCCAGATTCAAATATCGAAGGAGATTTCCAGGGAGATCATTAGCAACATAAGGAATATTGCGAGTTTTGATAGTGCGTCCAGCCAGTTCTTGGAGGCTTGGAGGATTGTAGGTCAATTCACGGACAAACCTCACAACCAAAGGATTCCCACGCAAACTTAGTTCTTCAAGCTGAACTAGATTCAAGATCTCCCGGGGAAGATATGTCAGTAAGTTATTGTGGAGGCTAAGAGAGCGAAGTGAATGCAACCTGGAAATGAGACAGGAAAAATTATGGTAAGACTCTACCATCAGATTTACCAAAATGAGCAACAAACTCTCTTCCAGGATGACAGATATTATTTACCTGTGAATTAAACAATGTACCCCAATAGGAATAGTGAAGCTATTATAAAAAATATGAAATACAGAATGATTTTTCTATGGCGTTTACAGTACTAATATAGAGTGTTTCTGCATTTTCTGAACACATTATATTCCTTATTAATTTTTAGAGTAATAAAACTGTTTTTTAAAACTCAGTAACTAAAAAACACGAGTCTAATTTATAATATATTAAAATAGAACCATATGCATGGCTCCATAATAAACATATGTACTTTTCAGTGTAGTAGATTTAGGGCATTATCCTGATTACACTTATTAAGTACAGCAATTTTACCAAAGGAGACAAAGTTGGACAGGCACAATGTATTTGCAAGAAAGTTTGTGCTTGCTTGCTAGTGCCTATTAATTTTAGCTTGAAAATCCAGATACTTACCAGATGCTGTTTGACAATCTGGTCAAAAACCTTACCTACTGTAGATGTCATGCTATCAGATCTGTAGTTTTCTGAGGATGGGTTTGCTTCATTCAGTGTTCTAGGATTTCATATAAGCTTTTGGAGTTCTTAAAGACTGGCACTGCAATACCAGCAAGTTTTGCAAGTTTTTCCAGTACAGAGCTTTAGGATGTAAGCCAACTGGTCCTGAATTTATTTAAATTACATGTAATCCTCATTTATCAACCACAATTGGGACCAGCTGTTCTGTTGTTGGGCAAGCAATCATTAAGTGGAAAATCACATGACTGTGAATGTCAGGCACAAGCAACCAGAATGACTTGTGAATAGTCTCAAGCAGAAGCTTTCTTTTAATCACCTATGTGATTTTTCCTTTGGAACAGTCAGATAAAGCTTCAGAAATTTTTAGGGGAAGTCAGACCTGTACCGTTTTTTGAAGTGCAAGGAGTCTAAGCTCAGCAACCTCTTAACATCTCCCTCCAGTCTAGTTGGAGATTCCAGCACAGTGTCTGCTTTCCTTTTGGCCTTTTCCATCCTTTAGAATGCTCATGCTGGGATAACTAGCAAGAAAGGAATTAATGTTTGGGTTTATGTTTGTTGAATAGAAAAGGATTACGAGCGAGTAAGTAGGCTCACAATGGGGAATATACATCAAAATAATTGGCATCCCAGAGCACACTTGGAGCTGGGAGTTGCAAGTGCTCTACCCAAACAACTGGTGTATTTCCCTGCTTACTCTCTTGCTGATGTTTTTCCTGCTTACACTTGTAATCCCTTTCTCTCCAATCTTTCTGCTCTGCAATGGGGGCAGGGGGGGCACAGGACAATGTATACGGATTGTAACGATAACCACATGTCTGAGGGACACAGTGAAGGTTATAAATGTGGCACTGGTCTTTTTTTTGTTTTTGCACTATGGAAACCAAATGGATACCAAATGAGGCAGTTGGTAAGCGAGGTCTACCTGTAGCTAAGTTTTCTTCTTGTCTATCCTAAAGTACCCCCTGCAGTATAATGACCAGCTAGGGCTCCATTTACCTTCAGAGGAAAAACAGATACAAAATAGGAGAAATTCGGCCTTCTCACTATTATGCATTGCTGCTTCACCACTTTAAAGGTGCTTGTTTTACTTTTATTTCTAATGTACATAAAGAACCCTTTTTATTCTTTCTGTTATCTCTTGCAAGCTTCACCACATAGCTTTAGCCTTTAGTTTCTTGACAGCACTACCTCTTTGGTGATGTTTTCTTTCTTCCATTTTCTGTAAATTTTGCTTTTTCTCTGAAGTATTTTAGAGAAATTGCACACGTACACACTGGTCTCTTTGAATTTATCATGTTTTTCGGTTATGATAATTATTTATAGGTTTCCCCATTCTTCCTGAACACTTTTTTTGAGGAATTCAAACCAATGGATCTGATCTACCTTCCTTTGAAATATATTTCATTAAAATATATTTTCAAAGTTCAGCTTTTAGGTAGCTGTTTTCAGCTGCTCCTCTAGATATTGTGAATTCAAGGATAACATCACTTTCTGTATATTTGATTCTGTATTTTAGCTACGCTTTCTTTTTATTCTCATTTGATATCCTCTTGATGAGATTGGTGAGCTTCCTTCTCAGATTTTATAAGTGTATCTTATCTCTTCTCAGCAATCTTTTCTGAAAATAGCACTAGCCCTTGTCAAATTCCTGTTTGTTTTCCCTATTTGCATGTACAAATTGTTCTCCATTGCTGATAATGAATCCCACAACACAGTTGCATTATTTGCATTATTCAAATTCACAGTATTTCAATTGATAGTTCTATGGAAAATAGGGTGTGAGTAGTCCTTGTGTCAGCTTCCAAGGCTGACACCTTGTTCAATGACATCTTGTTCAGCAACTGTTCAAAGTTCAAACAAACTGAAGGAACTTGTTATGACTAGTTCTTGAAGTCTGGCCATCCCAGCACCTCCACAGTCATGTAACCATACTCTGGGTGCTTGGCAACCCATTTGCATTTATGATGGTTGCAGTGATTCAAAGTTACATGATTGCAGCCTTCCCTGAAGGCTTCTCCAAAGTAAACTCGCTGGAAAAGCTGGCAAGGAAGGTCACAAGTTGCTTGGGTCTCTCCCACCTGCACACCTCATACAGCCCTCTGAACTCATGCTGCATCTTCCCAGGTACTCACACACCCTCCTGAATCTTGCTGAACTTGTGCTACATCTCTCCAGCCAATCGCACACCCTTGAACACTCTCCCCAAGTGCTCCGCTACATTCTTGCTATGGTTACCTGGTAACTCACACCTTTCTTACATAACAGCAGCCACCTCCAGTTGTCCATCTCCATTACACGTGTACCCTCCCTGAGCCTCACTGCACTTGTGCTGCATCTCCATGGCTACTCATGCACCCAATCTCCCACCGAAAGCAGCCACTTACCTCCCTGTGGCCTGCTTACAACCCACCTAGGACTTGCAAAGAGGTACTTGCTTAACAAGCCACAATCCTCCTTTAATAATGGCAACATGGATTGCCATCATTAAGTCATGTGGTTATGTGATGTCACGCTTTACATTATGGCAGTAATGCTTAGCAATGGAAATTTTGGTCCCAAATGCTGTTGTAACTCAAGCACTATCTGTAATCAGTTTCAGCTTAATGGAAATAGTATATATAGTATAATAGTATCACTAAATCACTAAATCAAATATCACACTATTTGAGCTCACAGTAATCCCAACCTACCAGTATTGTTTCTAGATCAGCATGCACAATTATTGTCTAATTTGCTGATTGTGGTGCTACAATAAATTATACCTTCTCGGCATTGTGAGATTGTATTACTATATAGAAGATACTCTCTTTTTCATACGAAAGCACTTCAAAAGAAAATATTATCAGTTTTATACACAACTAAATTTAGGGCACAGATATCAGAAAGAGTAACATGGCTAGAAATACTCACTGTGCCAACTGAGGTGGAATACTCTGTATCCTGTTATCACAGAGGACTAGGTAACTTAGTGATGACAGATTTGCTACCTCTGGTGGAATGGAAGTAATGAAATTTCCTCCAAGATACAAAAATTCTAAACTGAAAGAGAAACCAGAATCAATATTTACAATTTGCATCCATTTAGAAACTTTAATAAACAAATAAACTTGAAAACAAAGGAAGAGGAAATGGTGTATCAGGTTAAGTTTCTCCAGATAGGTTCCTTCAATTAAAAAAATGCTATCATTTCCTTCCAGAAATGCAAAAGAAAAAAAAGAAAAATAACATAAGTCATGGTTGGGCCAAGCCTATGTAAACCCTGGTAAACCTGAGTGAGGTTGGAGAGGCAACTGCTGCATTCTTTCCCTAATAAAACTTATCGGACTTATTTTGAGTCTCATTTAGATTACTTCTGCTGCTTCATCTATTTCCAATTGATAACTGGCAAAAACGACATTGGCACACATCAAATTATAAATAAGAAATTGTTTTTATACCTCTTCAGTATGTGGAAGAAAGAGAACTTTGATCTTGAGGTGATACACAGTTTTTTCCCCCTTATAAGTACATTCTGTCTGCTTATAAGCTCGTCAGCACATAAAAATTAACTTGGTGGAAGCAATTGGCACAAGGTCACCTATTAAGTTCCACAAATGAATATTTGGACCTAGGTCTCTAAATTCTGCATTGGAGTGTAGTGAACTTCGTGACAAAACTTAACTCTATCAACTACTCTTTAATAATTAATAGTAACAATACTTTAATAATAATTAAACACATAACCACAATGCTCAGAAATAGTATGCCTCTAAATACACAAATTACCAGGTAATATTCTTAAGTTTGAAGGCAATGCCTGCAACACCTTCATACCAAAATGGAGAATACCAGCAGTAAATAATAGACTGAGAAAAATATACTGACATGACTGTGCATCTGCAAATCAGCTATAAATAGATTCTAAAAGAAAATGGAATTGTGCAAAATATTAAACGTATCAAATATTACTTCTAGTAATTATTATTCTAAAATCATTATTATTCCAAAAATCATTTTCAAGAAGATATTGCACTATTTTTTCTAACTTTACACAGTCCTCTTAAATATATATAGCAAACTGATCATACTGAAGAGGGAAGAACATAAGAAACAACAATGAGAGATTAGAACAGATCAAAAAAACTGTCCCTGGCCTGGGCTGAAATACTGACAATGGTGACTAAAAAATAAGCTATGGACTAAAATGATGACAACTGGAACAACTGTATTTGGATTGGAAGTCAAGCTTCCATGGCACATTTGCACTCTCATTTCTGAGACAAGTCCTCCCCTTCACAAAGATTTCTTTTTACTTGAGTCATGATTCTATGACTAGGGCTCTTGAAGGATAAATGACTATTCCTTAGAATTGATGCACACTCAGATCCATTAAACTCCCAAGAACTATTGTTCATGTCCCAAGCAATTTATGGTCTCTCATTGATATTTTTTGCTTTTCAGTGTAATTAAGATGCTTTATTTCCAAAACAGCAAAACAGATAAAAAACACTTCTTGTGACTGAACATTCCTAGCATTATAATATGTAAAGCAGCTAGTAGAAAGAAAATCAAAATAGATACTGTATAAATTGCGGATAAACCCCCCTCATTTTTTTCATTACAAGGCATCTATATGAACAAAATTAAAATCACAATATTCATTAAATATGCAGATAAAGAGAAAATACAATAGATTAAATGAAACAATTTGGTCTAAATTGGCCACAAATACTCTCCCCTGTTTGTTGAAAAATACAATTTTAGATTATGAGCTTTGTTTTAGTCTCTATTCACAAAAGGCTTATGTTATGGAAGAATTGTAGCTTAAAAATAAATTCATAAATCTTTTATTTGGAAATTTCAATTTGGTCACCTATAAAATTGTTATATTGAATCAATTTTTCTCCAGTGAAATGAAAAAGCTAAGTTTCTTCCTCTTTTCCATATTTTCACATTTCAGTTGAAAAATACAGCCTCGCTTCAGGAAGTAATGGTTGAAAATTATTCTTTTTGTTTGTATGTGTAAATCTATCTATCTATATCATGGAGCATTAAGTAGTGGTAATGAACCAATCCGTTCATAAATGAAACTAAAACTCAATTCTGAAACTCATCCCAAGGACATTTCTGGAACTCTTATATCTATAACTAAAGTTAAAATGAATGAAAGTGTTGAAATTAGTTCCTGAAAGACCACCTACTCCCATAGTGTAATGTCTTCCCTAGATTCTTTTGTAGAACTTACTACAGATACAAGATCATCAGGTTGTGGTTTTTCTGTGCCCAAAAATAAAGTTATGAAACAAGCTTTTGTGGGAGCTGAAAAATACAAAAATGTTTGAATAGCCTGAATAAAAAAACGTGAGAAAAGCTATTTTTCCATCTAAGCTATTCAAAGAGTGTTGTTGTATTTCTTTATAAATATTATCTTTATAAAGTATTTCTTTATAAATATTATCTTATATTTTATAAATATTATATTTTGATATTTTTAAAGCCATTCAAATATGTTGTATTAGGTGGCATTCAACCAAAGCTACAAAAACCCAGATGGCTACTAAATGGCCATGAAAGACAGGGAGAACTCTCAGCTCTCTGCTGCCAACTATTGGTTGCCTATATTTTAGCAGTCCACTAGTAGCTAATATAAAAGTTCTAAATAACCCAATAATTATAATCTATTAAACTTGAATCACATCAGTGAAACAAAGAAATCAACAACAAAATCAGTAAAAGGTAAACATGGCAATGAAGCCAGGACTCTCCCCCGCCAATAGCATGGTTGAAAAAGGAAATAATCTATTTTTCCCCTCAAGAGACTAATGGGAGTTTATGTATAGAACAGTCCCAGATTACCAATACTCAAGGAAAATGCCGAAGAAGCTGATGTGAGTTACTTGACGGAACTCGGTAGTATAAAATCACTGAGACCTCCTAAAACATGCGTCCCTTGACTGAAGCATAGCTCCCATTTTGAGGAACAGCAATAAGCCCTGCATTTTCTATCGTGGGGACTGGTGCACCTCCCACAAAATGCAGCCTAAGCTTCGGCTCAGAAGGTCGCCCGCAGCCGGCTTCCCCGGGGGGCTCTTGGCTCCTTTTCCGAGCCGGCTCACCTGCTGAGTTCCTGGATGGCGGGGGGGATGCTCTGGAGCCGGTTGCTCCCCAGGCTGAGGCTCTGGAGACGGGAGAGGCCCAGGAGCGAGGCGGGGAAATGCGTGAAGCGGTTGCCGCTCAAGTTGAGGACGCGCAAGGACCGGCCCAGGGGGGCTCTGGCCAGGCCTTTCGGGAGGGACCCGCGGCACCCCAACCGGTTATTCTTCGCCAGCAGCGTGTGCAGATGCGCCAAGTCCAGCAGCTCGGGGCCCAGCACCGACAGCCCCGTCCCGCTCACGTCCAAGACCTCCAGGGCCGGATACCAGTTCCCGAGCCCCGCGGGCAACTCGCCCGCCGGGGACAGCCAGGAGGGGGGCAGCACCAGGCGGCGCGAGGACGGCTCCGCGGCGCCCCTCGGCCGCAGCTCGCCTTCCTCGCCCGCTCCCCGGGCTTCGGCTTCGGCCTGCCCTCCTTCCTCCGCCATCTCGTCAGGACCAAGCCCCGGAACCTGAGTACGATCGCGCTCGTGGGGCCCTGAGTGGCAGAACGTCAGGCCGCGCTTCGGCCGCTTTCTCCTGCAATCGGTCGAGACTTATACAGGTTCCCGGGCTGCTCCCGCAGGAACGGGCTGGCCCGCCGACCGAGAGTGTTTCTGATTCGGCTTTTCCGATGGGCGTCCTGGAGCTCAGGGGCCCAACGTCCTCCGCTCCACGGGCATTTTTCAACCGTAGGTCTTTGGCTGGCGCATCTTTTCCAATCCTGCATCTTTCTTGCAGTGTAATTTGCTGTTCAGTATGTATTCTGTTCAGAATATATTGAATTTTATTTTTTGTTTTAGCAACGTGACATTTTCATACTGTACAGTTGACAGCTTCGCATGTTTTTTTATGAAGATTCCCGTGTTTTTAACAGGAACATGGGTGGCCTCTTTATCCTAAAAGAGAGTCAGGGGTCCATCTAGCTGGGTGCTGTTGTATATAGGCAATGCACACAATTCAAAAGAGCAGTTGAGGGGCTTTCCAGGTAAAGCTAGCGAGACTCCAGTGTGAAATATTGGGGGTCTACTGTTAATCAGTGTACAGGTACAGTGGTATCTAGGTGATCAATTCACCTGGGATTCGTTCCCAGAGGCACAACAAGGTACTAAAAATGGGTGCTGAGCAAACCATGTGATCCTTTATTTCAACCTGAAGGAGTAGTGAGTGACAAGGCAGCAGACGCCTCCAGAAAGTTCTACTTTGAGAAAGATGGGTGGCGGGATAAGATTTTTGCTTCAAAACACATTGAATATCTAGTTCAATGAGTTTTGAAGCATTTGAATACCAAGGTATGACTGTAGTCCCCAACTTATAACCATTTAGCAACCATTTGAAGTTACAACACCTCTTTAAAAAGTGACTCCAACACAGCATCTCCATGGTCAAAATTTGGGCACTTGGCAATTGTCTTGTATTTATGACTGTTGCAGCATGCCAGGTTACCTGATTATCATTTGCAATTTTCCAGCTACAGTAGCTTTGGTCAAGTAAAGTCAGTGACATAATTCAATTAACTGCAGTGATTCACTTAAAAGGGTGGTAAAATCAGGCTCACTCAACAATCACCTTGCTTAGCAACAAAAATTCTGGTTCCAAATGTGGTCATAAGTTGACAACTACTTGTAGTTTGGAGATCTCTAACCTTTGGCAGGAATTCCTATGGAAGTTTATTCAGTGCATTAAGCATCCACCAGCAAATATTAAAATGCTGCAAATTTCTATGCTTCTTCCAGTCTTAATTTTACATCAAGCAACAAGACCAGATTTCTTATTTATATATAGTAGCAAACAAATTCTGAGAATTTCCATCTCCAGTGTGTATATCAATACTAGCAATAGTATTGATATAAAACATAAACAGAATAAAGAAAAGTGACTGTATATTTTGATTTTCATCTGTTTCTAGAAATGTTATTGGTTAGCTCAGGCCTGTCAAACTGGTGGCCTACGGGACAGATGCGTGACGTGCAGGCCACGCCCCCACAGCTCTGCAAAGGCAAAAAAGTTGCGATATGTCACGATACATTACGTGACGCAATCGAGTTTTACACCCGTGGGTTAGCTCTTTTTAAATAAAAACTTTGAAATGGGAACTAATGGCTCGTTCAAAAAGAGAGCTGCTGCCCCTTCCTGCAGATGTCTATAATGTCATGGCTAAGCTAGAAGCTGTGTATCTTGGTGTGCTTGTTGCCCTACAAAAATAGCTTGGCTTTCTGTAGAAGTCTTTCCATAGAGAAATATTATGTATTTATTTGCATAGATATTCAATTGTATGAAATTTTATCTGAGTCTGAAATGATGCAGTTCAAAGATAGGTTTACTTTTTCATAGAAAGCTATAATCTAAAGCAAACAACCTTGCCTCTAATAGCCAAAATTTTCATTTTTTTTCTTCTCTGAATCTTTCTCTCTATGAAAAAACCCATTATAATTATTTAAAAGTACTAAATGGATACCCGTGCTTTGCAATGAAACTATGTGATCGGGCTATGCAGGAGAAATTCAGTTCACAATCCATTGCCTCAGTGGTGGTTGGTAATTGGAACACATAAGGGTTTCCTTTCCTTTCCTCCTTTCCATTCCTTTCCCCCTTTCCACTCCTTCTTTCATCCTTTCCTTCTTTCCTCCCTTCCCTTCATCCTTCCCTTCCCTTCCTCCTTTCCCTTCCTTTCATTTTCTTCTTTTCTGCTTTCCCTTCCCGTCCTAATTTTCTTTCATTCTTTCTTCCTTTTCTTTCCTTCCCTTCCCTTTCTCCTTTCCATTCCTTTTCATCTATCCATCTATCTATCTATTCAGCAAGTGTTGTAAAATACAATCCTCCAACTGTTGTCCCAAAGTGCTTTTTTCAGGAGACAATTGAATTTTCTCTGCTTTCTTTTAAGATGTTTTGCTTCTCATCCAAGTAGCTTTTTCAGCTCTGACTGGATGGTGAGTAATAAAAATACTACAACCTTTGATGCCAAAGTAGCTTCCTGTTTGGAAGTGTAGTTTGCATCCTTTTAGAAAGTCATTGAGGCAACTTGGAGGTTTGTATGTGTCCTCGGGTCACCTGAGTGGTGCAATGGCTGTGGAGTTACTAAGGTAACAGAATGCGAGGCAACTGGCAGTTGGAACAATTCTTTTCGGGTAGGGAAGGGAAGTAAAACTCCTTAGCATCAGAGTGTGTTAATTACTGTATTAAGAAATACTGATGATCTGATGGTCATTTTGAAAAATCATTTCTTAGTAAGCACCTAGAAGCCAAGAGGAACATACGTGTCAAATTTCAAGTTTGTAGGCTTTACAGTTCTGGAGATTTCGTGATGTTGTACGAGTGATATTTCACTTTTATATACAGTGGAACCTTGGGTCGCAAACGCTTCTGTTCGCAACCAAATCGGGTGACACACCATAATTTTTGCTTCTGGTCACAAACAGATCTTCGGGTGGGACCAAGCGAACCTGAAAATTGCCGCAGTGATTTTCTCTGCTGCAGCGATTTCCCCCTTAGCACCATTTTTGGTTGGTTTTTTTGGTCCGTGCATGCGCAGATGGTCGTGCTTCCAGTCACAACCAAATTGGGTTGTGACCGTAGTCCTGGAATGTTCCACTATAAATGTTATCATGTTCCACTATATATAGATAACAACCACCTGGAAAAATCAGCTTCAAAATGGAGAAGCCTCAACAATTTATTGGACAGACTGGTTGGAATATTATGGGGTGCTGATGCTAACAGCCTTTGCAGAACAACCTTGGTTTTGGTTTATTTCATAGCTGAATATTGTGACAGTGTATGGCTTAGCAGCACCCACACTCAAATGGTCAATGTTCAACTTCGCCAGATAATCCGTATTGTCTCTTACACATTGCATCCCACTCCTGTGCACTGGTTACCAGTACTTAGCAATATCATGCCATCCCACATTAGAAGGTAACAAGCTGTCATTTGGCTATGGTCAAAGATGCTGAACAACAAGGCCCTCCTATTTACCAGGACAATATACAGCCCATCACAAGATTGAAATTTCATAGACCAGCATGCAAAACAGCTATTCACTTAACATCCACCAAATTAAACCCTCCTGGAGACAGGAATGGTCCAAGATACCTTCTTGTGGCCTGACCATTAATGATTCCTTTACCAAACCACCCAGTTTTGACCTGCCTCGCTGTCTAGTCGAAATTAAACAGAATTAGGTGCAATACTGGAAAAAATGCCTCTGCCCTGTATCATTGGGGATTGAAAGATTCCCGATTCCCCTTGTGATGCTGATACGCAAACTGTTAAACATATTGTGCAAGACTGCCTACAGTGTGCATTCCCTGGTTCCCTGGAAAATCTGCATGGACATCCAGTTATAAGGCCACTGCCACATCCCCATAGAAATTTTGTACATAGATTGTGGGTATATGTTTACTTATCTTCTATCATGGTCTCATCACACACTAAATAAATAATATTATTTATAATTATTCCAAGTTTTATGGGCTTGCCTATCTACCTTTTTACTCAAACTTTTATAATGCTCTGAGAGTTCAAGTCATATTGTGTCAAATTTTGAGGGCACGAAGAACTAGTTCCAAGATACGTAAAATGGTTATCCAAAATGGTGTTCTTTTAAGAACTTGAGCCTAATGTGTCCCTTCCATTCAGTTAAAATGCACTGAGCTAACATGGCTTTTTTTCCCTATGTGATGACTTGCTGGTAGAGCAAACAAAACTAGGTCCAGACCAGTAGTGATTTAACTGCAGAGCAAATGTCAGTTTTGTCTGATTTTGCAGCTGTTTCCCCATTATCTTCAGCGGAAATTCTCATGATGCTATATAGAGTGTATAGATTTTAACATGAAAACAGTAGCTAAAGTCATGCCTCAGGCTAGATACAATTGAGATATGTCACTCTCCTGCATTTGCTCCAAAAGTACATAACAAGATTTTATCATGAAACACTTAAATCTAATTATGACTAAATTATGAGGGAATAATAGTAAGACTTCAAACCAAAGCATGTTTACAATGAAACAAGTTAATGATCATACCAAGCTAAAACAAGACTTCAGCACATGTACTATTTGGTCATCCAATATGATTGTTTAACTTTTGGGGAAGAATCAACATTCATTTAAGTAGTTCCCAAGATAATTCTTTCATAAGAGCTGCAGTAGTTAGAATACAGTATTGCAGGCTACTTTTGCTGATCACAGCTGCCAGCAGTTTGGCAGTTTGGGACTCACTGGCTCAAGGTTGACTCAGCCTTCCTTCCGGGGTCAGTAAAATGAGGACCCAGATCAGTGGTGGGATTCAAATTTTCTTACTACTGGTTCTGTAGGTGTGGCTTGGTGGGCGTGGCAGAGGAAGGATACCGTAAAATCTCCAGTCAGAGGTGATATTTGCCGGTTCTCCAAACTACTCAAAATTTCCACTACTCTTTCTACAGAACTGGTCAGAACCTGCTGAATACCACCTCTGACCCAGATTGCTGGGTGCAATATGCTGACTCTATAAACCACTTAAGAGAGGACTGTAAAGCACTGTGAAGTGATATATAAGTCTAAGTGCTATTGCTATAAAGAGAAAGATCACTAGGTGGAGAGTCCTTTGGACTTTACAGTACATATGGCCCAACAGAATGTAATCTTAATGATGAGTTTCTTCAACATGATTTCGGACCTTGGAAGTCTTCTAATCCAACCTCCTGCTCAAGCTATACACTTTTACAGAAACAAAAATCCAATTCTTAAGCATATGCAAAAACAATAACAATGCTTTTGATGTTTGTTATAACAAGTGAGGAGACTGGATCTCCTGATTTTATTGCCAAAATTCCTAAACAGATTGATTTTGCATCAAAACATGCAATGCATTTATGATATTGTGCATTCTCCTTTTCTACTTAGGGACTAGTTGTCAAAAACCATCAGACAAGCTCTAAGTCTGCAAACCTCAGGTATATATCTTTCCCTTTGGGAATGACAGCAGCAGTGCCTCAGTATAAAGCACTAGATATGTACATATGTTTCTTGTTGATCTATCTTCCCAACAGCATAGGGAATACTTACTTCATGCTTGACAAACATTACTATTTCCTTCTATTTAATTAATAGCGTTGAGTGAATTCTTGAATAAAGTCAAGAATTGCATCCTTCTCCCATTCCTCACTTCCTTGAAAGAATTATGCTGTAGGAAGCTGTAGGGCATCTCTCTCAAAAACTCTATTCTGCTCTGTCCATACATGAACTATTCTGTTTACAGTGAAAGGTGCAATGGCAAATTTAGAACAGCCATATACAGTCTTGGTCCCCTTGGTGCTGCACTGATTTTACTTCCTTGATACATGTAGCTATAATATAAAGCATGAACACAGAAGTACAGCATTTTCCAGAAACTATAAACAATATAAATCAAAGATACAAAAAGCTCAGTTAAAAATCATCAGTTAAAAAGAGTGTAAGAAGGTGATAAGAAAATATATTGTAGCACCATTGCAAAGAGAGGAGGAAAGAAAATGAGGTCAGTTTGAAACTCACGAAGTTATGTGGCTTCTGGCAGGGATAAAGAGCTTGCTCTATATTTACTAGGGACTCTCATTGATATGCACATTAATCAATGGCAGGGGTAGGGGGATTCTGCAGGAATTGATTGAAACACCATATTAAAAAAATGGTTGAGTGAAGGACAGAAGAAAACAAAGGCTAAATATCAAAATGGAGTGTAGAAAAGTGATATGCCATGGAATATATGCATAGCTATTACATTTTCTTTATTGGGCTCCTCCAGTTAGAGTAATATTTGTGAAAAAAGATTTTAAGCTGTAGCAAGAGAGTCATAGGGCAATGCTCCCCCATCAATGCAACTTCCACAGAAGACACCATGATCCTAGTTTACAGTGATGCTTCCCCTGAGTTCTAGGAGCTCCAGAACTGGAGTAACTTGCTGTCCTCATTAATCACTCTCAATTCAACTTCATATCCTTGCTATAGAAGCCATAATATTGGAGGGGAGATTCTTTTAAATTTCAAAAGAATCCATTTTCCTTTACCTCCCTCCCTTTGCTACACAATGTAAATATCTGTGACTGAGCAATAATTTCTAAACTTGCTTGCATATTGAAGGAAGATTGGTAGGTGAGACAGGTAACACACTTTGTCTTCTGGTGTGTACCTCTCACATTTCTTTGGTAGTCATTTGCTTGATCTTTTCAGAGGTCTCCTAAGGAAAAATGAGAAGAAAAAAGAAAACAGGATTTAGGTATTATATACCCTTGACCAAAGCATGGTACAGCCTTTCTATCTGATATGGTCATCCTCTTCCACAAGCATGCAGCATCAGGAGGGATGCACATGGAATAGTAAGGGAGGAAGGGGATACTCTCACATTCAACTGTATTCACCCAATCAGGCCTGGTAACTAGTGATACAACAGATATTGCAGCAAATCACCCTCGTGTCCAAATTAATAACTATTACTAAGGCTTTTCCATTCTGTCAAAATGTGCCATTGACATTAATAAAGCATTGACTTAATTTAAATAGAAAATTTGGGACCAAGGCACCCAAACTGCTGCATCCAAAGTATCCTATCTCTCTGCATCATCCCACTCCCTCCCTAATTATCCCAAGATCTTCCAACATCTTTCATGCCCCATTCTTCTCCCTGCTCAAAATGGCACGTTATCCACTAGGGTGACAATGGACACACATACCAGTGTCTCTTATAAATTCTGCACTGTTTTGATACAGGGGCAGAATCTGGATCACATGGATTATTAAAGTTTCCACTGTAACTCAAAGGTGAACATATCTTATAAAACCAGTTGCCGAAAAATTAATTTTTTCTTATGATTAAGAAGTTAACAGTCCTTTTCGCTGACTAATTTCCAGACACTTCCAAGAAGGTTGCAACATTTATAGCAATAATTTATTAAAGTAATTTGGTTCTTTCATTATATTATTAAATGTTTCAGGCTTGCCTTGTAACTTTATTTCTTTTCTTTTTTATTCACAATACTGTATTAAATGTATTTTTAACTTTGGGCTGTAAGTAACATTGATTAGCATTTTAGGGTGTTATATTTTACTGCAGCCCCAGTCAACTTTGGCTATCTCAGAAAACTTAACTGGGGCAAACCCAGTTAGTACTTAAATGGGAGGTCACTGAGAAGTTGAAATAACTGGCTAGACTGGGAAGTTGAAAAAACATGCCAGATGAATACATCAGCAATGCACATTTGTACCGAAACAGAAAAGTACATGGACATGTGCAGAATATATACAGGAACTGGGGTTACTTGAGAAAGTTTCGTTTTATTTACAGGGTATGGTTCTTCCTGCTACATCTCAAGAGGGCTACCAAGATTTTCAGAGAACTGGTTTACTACTTTATGAGAAAAAGGGGAACATGTTAGAGATTTTTGTTCATGTAGAAGCAAAATGCATAAATGAGAACATAACAAAGGCATGCAAAATTATGCAATTTCTCCATTCACCTGTATAGGAGGGCAAATGTCAGAACAA